CAACACAAGCAGCAGCTGCATGCCACGCCCACCAGCGAGCAACAACAACAGACACCAACACGCCAACAGCAACAGCAACGGGAGCAACACCATCGGCAGCAACAGCTGCGCGAGCAACGGGAGCATCGTGAACGCGAATACCAATACGATCACCAGCAGCATTCCCATGGACACGGACACACAACACACTCACACCATCGCGATCAGCACGAAGATCATTATCATTATCAGCAGCAGCAGCAGCAGCAGTCATCATCGCATTATCATTATCAACAGCAGCAGTCGCATCAGCAACAACAGCGCTACAGCAGCAACAGCTACAAGAATCATAATAATTCCGTTTACCAGTGAAGAAAACAAAAAAAGAAAAGCTAAAATAAACTCTAAAACAGCAACAACAACAACAACAGAAACTAAATTGGAACAATTTTGGAACATTCTTAAAAACAGCTTTCAACAGTTAACAGTTAAATTGTGCTAACAAATATCCCAAATGCTAATATCTGTCTCTCTATCTCTCTCGCTCTCTCTCTCTCTTTAACACGCACGCCTCTCTACACCAACTTAACGAAAAAGACAAAATAAAAAAAGAAAGCCCAAAAAATGGGACATTTTTGGATATGCTGTTAACAAATATGCAATTCAATGTTGTTGTATGAGCTCTCGTTAACAAATTTCCCAAATTTCTCGTTAACAACAATTTCCCATGATTATGGTTTATGCTATATTCTTTCCAAGAGCTGCTGCATGAAAAAAAATTATATATATAAACAAATATTGAATAATTTGACTTTCGACCAAAAAACTCTTTTCAAATACATATCCAAATTTTGTTTGCAAATTCATTTCAAAATATTAATTTAATTGAACTAAATCTTAACTTTTATTATAATTTTATATTCTATTTTTTGATATCATTAAAAAAAATATCCTCACTGCCAAAAAAGGAAATTATATAAATATACAAAAAAAGAAAAGAAAAAACTATGTAGCAGCTCTCCTCTTGCGCTTTCCTCTGGCAAACTCTCTTACCCCATAGAGCTAGCGTTTTACCTAGTGAAACCCCGAAAAGTAGAACCCGTAACAGAACTTAGGACTTCTAAAAATCTGAGAAAAAACTTATCTAAAGCTGTAACTATGAAACAAGCTAAATGTGTATTATGTATTTATGATATTATGATTATGAACGAGCAACTTAGTCTAAATGGTTAGTCGTTAAACAATTATTTAAACTAAATGAAACCATATTTAATTTCACAAAAAATAAAATCAAATGAAAATGCAAAAAAAAAAAATATATATATATGAAATATCCACAAACCCAACCCAAAGAAAAAAGATATATATACATATATATAAAATAACAAAAATATGGCAAATATTAAATTAAATAAGATGAAGAAACCAGAGCTTAAAAAAAGTGTTATAATTAAAATCCCTTAACCGTAAGAACACATTAATTACGCAAGAAGAAGCAGAGCAAACAGTCACAGAACATTGTAAAAAGCAAACAAGCGACAAAAAAACCAAGATCAGCTTTTGTTACACACGCACACAGATCCGCATACACACACACACGCATGCATAAAGCTTCACTATTTATGTAATTAACAGCTACAGCGACAACAACAACAACATGAACAAGTATAAAGCCCACCAAAGCAAATAATTTGTAAAAAATAATCGTAATATTCACTCACACACACACACATACACAACACTCACTCTCTCTCACACACCCACACACATTTGTACAAAATACCTAGAAAATATACCCAAGCAAGGCGAAGTGTCGATAATGCAGTTTAGCAGAGCAGCACTGCAAGCAGTGCAGTGCAGCGCTCCACTCACCTACTACACCTACTAAGTAAAATTTAACGAAACAAATACTTATCAAACACAAAATTACCAGCAAGAAAGGCGCAAAATTTAAACTAACAGAGAAAAACAAAAAGAAAGAAACCGTTATTAGTACAATTTTAACTGCACACTGCACAACTCTTTTTGAATGTTTGTTAAATGTTTTAAACGACAAAAACAACAGCTGCAAAATTGTATTCCTCTCACCAAAAACAACTAATCACAATGAAAAACAAAAACGGTAAACGAATTATAAAATACTACAAAAAAACAAAAAGAAAATGAAAAAAGCTACGCTACTCTACCATTAAACAACTAGAAAACAATTTAATACCATTTACCAGCAGAATATGCAGTAGAGAAAAACGAACGCTTAAAATTTGAGGTTGATTGGCATTAAGTAAAAGTTAAAACGATGTAAAAGGCCGACAGGGCGCGATAAAGAGCAAAAACTAAAAGAAACAACAACAACAACAAAAACTAACTACCCAAAAGCACGACTCAACAACTTTCTGTGCAAATACTATATATATATATAAATATATATATATTTATTGTAAAATATTAGCAAGAACAAAAATGGAAAAAAATACTAAAACTAATACTAAAGAAAAAATCTACTTTTTATTAAGCAAACAAAATTATGCAAAATTTTTCGCCAACCTTTTTCTCTCTCTTTCTCTTTACTCACATCATTTTTGGCAAACAAAACAAAAGAAGAAAATCAAGCAAAAATACTTTTCAAATATTGTTCGTTGTGTGTGCATTGAAATCTGAATGTCGTATGAGCAATTCGCGAAGAACTCCTTGAGTTAGTTTTGTGTCTAGTTCTTATAAAGAGCATATATATATATATGTATATATGATTATGCCTTGGTTACTGCTATACCTTTCTCTTACTCACACTCTATATCTCTCTCTGTATATGTTTAGTGAGCGAAACAGAGCAGGAAATAATTGAGAAAGCAAAGAAAAGAAATGTTGAATTATATCGTAATTGTACTTTTGTTGACTATTATGTAATAACGCATTGCTGTACGTTAATCTTAGTTGAACTAAATTTATATAAAAGAAAAGAAAACAAAAACAAATCTAAAAAATACTAAAAAGTTAGTTATTGTTAGTAAACTATTATATGAAAAGAAAAAGGAAAAATAAATTACAAATAAATTGTTCGTGTACAAAAAAAAAAAAAAAAAAAAAAAAAAAAAAAAAAAAAAAAAAAAAAAAAA